CCCGAACCACTCTGCCCATGCACTCTTTTCAATACATGAGACCCTAGATGGAGCAAGTACAGTACTACATGGAGTACTCTGCGGGGAGAAAAAATGGAGAGAAAAAAAGGTATTTGTATTCCTCTCATCGTTACATAAAAGCGATGGGATCATGGGAAATGCTGATTATCTGGTACTGCTGGCTAATCCGATGCCACTGCACACGTATCTAGCATCAAGCTATGCCTATTCATCATCTGTATCCTCGTAGAAGTGGTAGTCCACTCCACATATCTGCCCCTCTGCCGCTGCTGAATAGGCATAGAGATGCGGGATATGGATGGGTAAAGGTTGCAGAGTACATGAGGTAGGTACACTGTTGAGCGGAGTAGGCAGGCGGTGTGAAGATCTGTACAAATGGCCCTCCCTGTTGCAAGAAACTGGGTGAGAAGTGAAGGACAGCCTACAATACATCCAGAAAAGTGTCTCAATTTCCATCTAGACCCGTTAAAAAGCGATCTGTTCGGAAGTTATTCTTTCATTCTCATCCCCCATTCTCCTTCTTTTTTGCGAGTCCTCTTCCCCCAGCGTCCGGTGTTGCACACATCGTACGTTGATACCGTGAATTGCCCTGCTGGTTGGAAGAGTAGTTTACGCATCCGCGAGATAATCTACATACTATACACTCCTCCTCTAGAAAGAGAAGAGATAGTCACCGACAATCCCTTTTAGGTGGTACACAGGATTACAAGAAAAATATCGCTGCCCTACCCTGCCTGCCAACCATCTTTCCTTCTTCCATCATCTCTATCCATCCATCCATCCATCCACACACTCAGCAACTGACCTCATACCTCATCCCTGGCAAACACACACCCTGATCCATATTAAAGTACCTAAATGCCCCTCCCCCTCATTTTCTCAACATATCTACAACCCATACACACCCTTTTCAGCCTGGCCCAACCGCCTTACGAAACTCATAACTGAATCCATACACGCCCCACAAAAGTCTCATTCGACTTAATTACAGCCAAGCTGCTACAAGTGGTAGTAACCATCTACCAACAGAAGCACAACGCGCTACTACCATCTTAGTAACTACATAACTCTTACACTGCCCACTAAAGCTTGCCTCATCTTAAAGGCACTTTTAGTTTCGCTTCAGCTCCACTTCTCACTCAACCCTCCCCACTCCCCGGTGTGGGTTCAATAAACATAGTATCTATATATTCTCGATAAATCCGCAAAGCTGGAGCTCGTACCTGCAAACCAACCTGCTCGCTATCGCGATCGTCAACCTAGGCGAAATATGACTCCGCCGCCGCAGCCCAAACCGCCCAGCCCTAAGGAATTCTGGGGGTATCTGATCAGTCGGGAACAGCCGACGCAACCGACGCCGTTGTTTCGGAATTTATTAATCGCTATCGCAAATTACATTGTACGTCGCTTGAGGATTTTATATCTTATAAAGATAAAGAAATATGGAAGAAGATAAGTAGCTAATAGGGATTACAGATAGAAAAGTTAGAGCCTTTAGAAGTACGGTGCTTAACACCAGAAAAGATCTCAAGCTTTTATCATAATGTTGGAGGTGATCTTGATGGTAAGTTTCTCTCAAGTCCCTCCCTACAAGCGCATCGAGAATGTGGATAAAGTCTGGAATATAAAATAAATGGAATACTGATTTTATGTTAAACAATATAGATTTGTTCCTCTCAACGCCGCCAGACGCATTGTCGTCAATCTACACCACCCTAGGTTGCTCACATACACTCCAACCTAGTCCTAGAGATGACTTTGTCCCACCATCCATCCCCGCACTAACATCACGCGGCTTCGTTACATGGCAGACTATTCAACTGCTGCTGGATCCTGTGGAACACGTGCCTTACCTGCAAGAAGCAGTTCGCGTTTTTCCACTTCAAAATCCAGAGTCAGGAGAGTTCTTCCCACGGGAAATACCTTCTGAGGCGTTTCCATCAGCGCCGGACCAAGAAACAGTCAGATGGCACGATGAGATGTTTGAAAAGAAGAAGGAGAGGGATGCATTGAAAGAGGCCACAGCTGCAGCAGCAGCCGCAACCGCGCCGGCGAGTAAGCATGGAAAGGTACAGGTCCCGGTGGGTGGGGAACATGTAGAGCAACCCCCAGCACAAGAATACCACCGGCATCATCACCACTATGCGCCACAACCGCAACAGTACCAGGAACATTATGTAAGTTCCAGGAGTCGCAAATCAAGACGAGCGCCGGCACCAGCGCCAGAACCTCCAATAGAAGCGGAGCGCTATTCGAGAAGCGCACCAGGCGTGTCAGATGCCAATAATCCATTTACGCATCATTCTAGACACCATGGTAACCATGTATCTTCAGAAACAGTATTTGCTTCTGATGGCGAAGGTGGACATCCGCATAGTAGGCATCAGTCGAGACATCACTCTCGTAGAGGAACAAGGGAACGAGAGTTTGTGAAGCCCTATCACTACGAAAATGGCGTCGTTACGCCTATTGCCCCAATTTTCACTACCGAGCCGGTCTATGTAGATGGAATTCGCATACTTAACGACCAAATTCCTTCCTCTCCCCCATTAGGTGGTGCCCAGCACTTCCACTACCACGCCCCTACAGTCACTGCCGAGCACCCGGGGTCATGTTCATCCAGTAACAGCGACCTCCATGGCGCTTACCACAACCATTACCGTAGTCACCACCAATCGCCAGAGCATCTCTCCCATGGCCACCACCGCGATCGTTCCCGCCCATCACGGTCCTCATCCCCACTTCACGGTGAACCAGTTCTCCGGAAAAGTGTCAGTGCGTACTATCCCGGTCAGGAACCAACCATTCATGCGCACTCTCACTCGCGCTCGCGCTCTGGCAGCTCTGGAAGACGCATTCGCCGTGAGGTAGTATCGGATATGGACAGCGATGTATCCGACGTGTACATCAACGGCGCTAACTCGGGGTGGACTCTTCACAACGAGCGGGCAAGACTTGACGAGGAAGAACGACTAAGGAGTAAGGAACAGGAAAAACTGGAAAAGCATCGCAGAAGGCAAGCAGCAGCAGCAAGAGAACTCGCTGAAAGAGAAAGAGGCGCGACTTGGGGAGCTTATGAAGCTACTGCCGCGCCAATCAGCGGAGGTGGAGCTGGAGCTAGAAGCGGGAGGAGCAGTGGAGGAAGGAGATACTATAGGGTTGAGGTGGAAGAGGCTGGCAGGGGGACCAGGTATTCTTAGTAGCTTTGGGTTTGGTTGGTTGGGCTGGGCTGGATTCAGACGGCGTTGAGGATTTCATCTTTTCTATGTGAATAATTTCTTCTGTCGTTTTTGGTGTGGGGATTAATTTATTATGTCGTTTATGAGGATCTCTGTATTTTGGGGCGTTGATAATTTGATATCCAGGATTTGAATTCTTTGCATCAGGTGATTTTGGGTTATTATTGACTGTAGGAGAAAGGATTGTTTCTACTAAAATCATCTCGCTTACAATTACCAGTAGTTAAAATTTGTAGCCTGTAAAGTAATTACACTTCTACTTTATGATGTAGTTAGATGTCTACCAGCTAAGCAGACATTGGCTACTTGGAGCCGATCATTTTGGGGCTGATGGTAAAACTTGCTCACCGAATAGACTGAAGTACCTACCCTTAAGCATAATGCTTTATAGAATGCCAATATTTAAGGCTTGTTACTCTAGAGGTTCTCACATCCATTCATGGATTATCACTCGATTTGGGACATCCATGGTGCGATACTCTAGGGTGTTTTTAATTGACACTTGACGACTCAGCAAAAATCTCTACCTCGGTGCGTTCTGTCACCCAGCTTGATGTCACTGGTGAATAGTCGTTGGCTGCTCGTGTGCAGGTCCGCCTGTAAAGAGCGTTTGTTGTCCTGTCTTGCTGTCCTGTCTCGCTGCGGCCTATTCTCTTTCTTTTCTTTTACTTAGAATAAACTGATCATCATCCATCGCGATACGATAACAGTCACCGCCGATGTTTTCGTGAGAAAGTTTAGGAAGAGCCTAGGCCGGCGCCCTCTCTCCCCATATCCGCTTTTCTCTCTTTGAGCGTATTGAGGGGTCGATAATGCTTTTGACGCTTCTTATCCTCAATACTATGCTCCAGAAAGAAAGCTATCCTATTTTTTTGTTTACCCTTTAAGGGGCCGATAGAATGGTCCTGTCGGTTTTGGTACCGAAATTCTTGGCAATACGAGTGATGATTCATGATTACAAAATAATATTCTCAGCATGAGGCTTGGTTCCAAGCTCGCTGGGTGCGGGAGAGTACATGTAGTTGCGTAAGTCTGAGAGGTATGACTAGCTCCACCTTGTGATATAAAACTAATATTATTATACCCCGAAAACTACATTGCTACTCTTTCTAGAAAATCCGAAGGCCTTGAAATGACAAAGGATAAATCTACTTTTACTTATATGAAGCTGCGAGTAGGAGGCCATGGAATTCTTCCGCACGGTCTCATGAGATCAGTATATGCTGATAATTAATTAGCAACATCGGGTCAGATTAATACAAACGGCTGACCTATCTAGCTATTATTATGTCTAGGGTATAAAAGAATGTTTCTCATCACTGCTACTTCTGGTTGGAAACCCGTTTCAAGCAGCGGGTGGAGACTTGTAGTAAGTAAATACATCCGAAATTCTATCCCGCTAAGTGTATCTGGGAGAGCAGTCAGAATCTAGGTGGCCTCAAAGAAATATTCAATTCTATCATCACAATCTCACAAGGTCGGGTTGGTTGTTACTGTTTAATTGGGTCCAGAAAGCACTGTTAGACATTTTCCATATGGTTTCTGCGTAATCGTACAATTCGATTCACGGCCCTGGGCTGTCAAGAGTACTGTCTTGGTCACGAGTCTTAGAGCTTTGGTGTAAAGAATATAAGTTCTTTTAAAGTACAAACACTGGGTATCTAAAAAAAATCCCCCCAAACTCCGATAGCGCCATGGTATTCCAATCCCTAGAAACGGGCAGCATCGATTAAGGTGCTTTCACTTGGCACCATTCCTTTCTAAAAACGCCATGACATGATCCGCCGCGCCAAACCCCTTATCCTGATGTTTCCACCTACACGTTCTTGCCCTCTCCAAGATAGTCTTCCCCTCCGCGTCCTTCGAGTTGATATCCGCCTTATTCTCCACCAACTCTACAAAGATCCCTCTCAGCACCCTCAGCTCCTCCACCGAGGTCGAATCCGGGTACTCCATCATCCTCTCGAAGCACCAATCCAGGGGCGTGAACCCTCTCTTGTCCTTCGCGGCCACATCTGCACCGCTCTGTAGAAGAAGCTTGACGATGTTGAAGCCCGTGGGTGTCGTGAGCTTTGCGGCAACGTGGAGAACAGTGTACTGCTTCTGCTTCTTGCCGTCGACCGTGGCGTTTATGTTGGGGGATGAGGGGTCGGCGAGGATTTCTTCGATGAGGGCGATGTTCTCGCTGCTGACAGCGTGCACAATGGAGGGCATGTTGTGGTGGGAGGAGCGGATTATGCCTATGGCATTGTCGAACATTGAGGAGAGGTTGGATTGGGATCGTGAGACCAACATTTTTAATTTTGTGAAGTTTAGCTAATTTGGTGGGAGGTAAATATCTTTAGTTTTGGGGGGAGTGTTCGGAGTGAAAGGTTGGTGGGCTGAGGGGGAAGACGTTGTGTATATATACAGGTACCCTGGTGGTATGCTATTAAGGGATCGTTATCTGAAACCCTGTATTCATTTACTGTGATGTAGTGGGTACGTCGGCAGAACTCCCACGCCGCACTTACCTGGGCCAAATTCAGGGGCATTCCTGGATATTCCCTTTTGATCTAGGAGAAGTCGTCTCTTCAATGGTATTAGCATCCTGTCGGTCCGGGAATATGTTAATGAATGTATTGCTCTATCGTGGGCCAGACGTATAACCATAGCTTGAATCCAAGATATCGTCACCATTGAGCACAGCTCTCTCTTAGGAGCTCGTGAAGAAAATCAGCCCATCTCAAATTCCATTGGGGTTGGACCCTTTGCATAATAAACGCCACCGGCGGCGAGTGGCTTACATGGGGTGGAAAGCACCAGCGCCCTCGACATAAATAATCTTGTTTTGGGGAGGATGGATTATTTCAGCCGAGCTGAAATCATGTAGCAACGTTATCTGTTATCGCATGGGTAGGGGTTTATGTAACCCCGAGTGATGGGCTGTGATTCAACTGGCATTCAAACATTCTTCGAAAGTCAAGGTGGACAAGGTAGGGAGTTTGTTTTCTTTGGAGCGGTTATCTTTACCGCCGAGGTAGGTCTGCAACTCAGGAGCATTCTTTCTTTTGGAACGCTTGATATTGCTGATGGGATGATTAAAAGTTACCATATGATCATTTCCACCAGTCACCAGTTACCTTCATACTTCCCAAGTCCCGCTAGGAGTATATGTGTTTTTAGAGAACAACCTCACTCAAGGATATCACTTATGCTTCAATCAACCACCCCGTGGAAAGCTGTGCATGTGGACGGTCGTAGGCTACTACATTCTGCTCTTCCCCGAGTCTCTATGGGCCTGGACTACTCCAACTTGTCCACCACGGCCACCACGCAGCACGGCGTACCTACATGCACCACGCATGTGCATGTGTATAGATAATGGTATGTAGAATGTGATTAATCTTTGCTCAACCCACCTCACCACCTTGGTCCCACAACTAAGTGTCCTAGTTGCCAGCCGTCTTCGTGTTTGCTCTCAGCCATGCACCAAGTGTGCCATACCCCGATTCTACTCACCTAGTCGACAATAGGGGGACAGAATACCCCTGCTATATCACAGTGCTTCACAGAAGGTCACCGCACGGCCACAAACTTGAAGTTGGATGGTACGGGGAGCACTTCCAGGGATCGTTTCCCCCCACCACATCAACAGCTTGCACTGTAGCTGTGAAGGACACTTGCAGTGTTTGCAACACCGGTTGCCTGTAGATAGCTGCCTAACGGACACCGGCCGGCGTTAGTCGTCGATGTAGCTGGGTGCAGGGTGCAAAGCCATTGATTCCGTAACATCAAGATTTGTGGCTAACCATCTTGCGCCAGCTTCCCGCTACGGGTTCATAGATTTACACCTCCAGCCCGGCTCGCTGCAGTACCTACTACACAAACACACGTTCTAGGATCGACTTCCAGGATCCCGGCTTGAAACACCAGGACCTGGTTTCCAGTGCGTTGATACCCGCACCGGTGGAAGCTAGATGTGGTGCCCCGGTGAAGATGAAACACGCATATGCGCATGTAGAGCACTCTATGTACGTGGTGCCGGCGTCAATAGACAACCTACCGGCAAACACTCTACCTCTCGGGGAAGAGATCGAGAGGTTGGAGGGACCAATCAGGTGGACCTGCTCTGATAGCGATAACCCTAGCCCTGAGTTCTGGTTCCAACGTCGACCCGGCTCATGATCACAATTATACTATGAACTCAAGGAGTAATATCAGGAGTAAAGTCTATTAATTCTACGGTTCGAGTAATGATAATAATAATACAGTAATGATACAGCGCTAAATACAGAACCTATGATATTGTACAATGTAAAGTACGGCCAATCCAGGGCCAACCCCCGACCTATAATAAACTAATAATCATAACAAAAACCCCGCCAACTCCAATGAGACAAAAAAATAAGGGAGGCCCGCTCTCCAAGATAAAGATATAGATAAGAAAAAAAACTACCAGCTCATATCTTACTTCGGGGAAGCAAATTCCTTAGGGCGCCTTCCGCCCTAGTCGAACTCCTATCACCAGAGCGCCCTCTCTCTGACTCCACTCTAGTTGCGCCAATCTGGGCATTGCTCTTCCTACTCCTCAACATGATGCCCTTCATAGTGAACCCGACAGCTCCCTCATTTTTGGCCTGCTTCGTCTCAATTGGCTTAACAAGGTCCTTTCCCATCAACCCACCGCGCTCCTTCAGCGCGTTCTTCATCCCATCTGACTGCGCTTCCTCCAACATACCCATGAGATCCAAGATCGCCCTATCTAACGGTGTGCGGCCCCACTTATCAAGTGCATTGATATTCGCCCCACACTCAAGTAGCAGGTATACAATCTCGACGCACTCCCCAAGTACCGCCCAGTGCAACGGGGTGCTCCCGTTCTCATCCGTCTGATTGACTACCGCGCCAGCGCCCCATGCCTGGAGCAGCTTCAACATCTCCAAAGACTCCATAGGGTCGTAGCATTTCACCGCGGCGTGCAAGAGCGTATTCTTCTCATGGTCTGTCACGTCCACGGATGCGCCACGTCGTAGCAGCATCTCAGCGATATTGTAGTGTCCGTCTTTGACCACCTTGTGTAACGGCGTACGTCCATTGTTATCGTAGTGGTTCACGTCCGCGCCGCGCTCGAGAAGGTGCTGTATCAGCTCTGTGGAATAGTAACCCCGGATTCTGATTGCAAGGTGCAGCGGCGTGCACAGTGTGTCGTCGTGAGCGTTTATGGAGGCGCCCAGCTCGAGGAGCTTTTTGGCGGCGGGAAAGTCCTTGCCGGCATCGCAGGCGTAGTGGAGCGGCGTGCGGTGGTTGCAGTCCACGGCAGTGATGGATGCGTTGAAGGCGAGGAGATGGTGGAAGATTGTGGGGTGGTTATGAAGTATTGAGAGGTGCAGGGGGGTTTGTAGAGTGTCGGGGAGGCAAACGTTGGGGTCGTCGCCCTCCTGGAGTGAGGTGAGTGCTAGGTCGGCATTTCCAACAATTGTGGCCCAGATGAGACGCGGGACGCTGTTGGTATTGCTAATAGGTGCGTATCTGCTGCGTATAGAAAAGTTATCCATTTTTAAAGAGGTTTAAAACTTAAAGTGATTTCTGAAAGATTTGGTTTCTCAGTTGAGTATTTTAGAGGTGAGCTTCTTATAAGGACCAATCCGGTTTTCAACTAGTGGTTATGAAATGATGATGATGGTTGACACTAGTTTCTTTTTAGTATTGATCGTAATGCTCTCGACGTTGAATGTTTGGCAATCGTTGGAATTTGAATTTGATATAGTATCGAACAAAGAAGTCCATACCTCGCGGGCACAAACAGATACTATATATCTTCGTAAATATCACCCCCCCTCGCTCGCCCCTGCTCGCCCATCCCTTCATCTCGCCTTCCTCCATCCGGCCATCACAAACGGTTCGGTGTCTGAGCCCGTCGCGGTTCCTGCCCTGTCATCTCCAGACGCGCACTTTACTACAGTCAGTCGTACCCGCACCCACCACACCATTTCCTATCACCGACGGTCAAGGTCATTCCCGTACTACGTTTTGCGGCGAAGTAATTGGCTTGAGAGCTCAGCCCTGCATCCTTGCTCTCCTCCACCACGCCAAGACACGGATCACTGCTGGGAAGCTGCTTGAACACGGAAGTGCTTTTACCCGTTGCGTTTTTGGTTGGGTGCTCTGGCTTGGCATCTTGCTGGCCCGCTGTACCTTCCTGGCTGTGTTCGCGTTCTTGGTCCTTCTTGCGAGTTCTGGTTCTGGTGTTCGCTAGAATTCTTGCTGGGCAGGTGGACGTATGTAGTCTGACTGACTTGTCCCCATGGTTTAAAACTTGGTCATGGCCATATGAGTAAACTGCAGTAGAGAGAATTTGCACCCGCACTTAGGCCGATATAATGCTCACACTGCCTCTCTCCAAGAGAAAAAAAATTCTCCTGGACTACAGTATGTACTCAGGAGGTTACCTATTGGCTTTTTTTGGGCTTATTATGGCTGGCGCCTCGGTACGCTTCGGGGGACCGCGCGGTAATGACAAATTTCTCGTATCCCCCTGATCGGCCGCTCCGATTCGATTTGTTGGTGGAGAAGGTCAATCGGGCTTAGGGATTAGGAGTTTTTTTTTTTTTTACTTCCTCTTTCTTCTCTCTTGGTCTTGGTGGGTTGCGTGCAACTGAGTGGATTTTATGGTGATGTAGGCCGAGTGTTTTATGGTGGTACGAACCAATCATTTACTGCGGCTTCCAAAAAACCTGTAAATTCTCACATTGGCACTGTGATACCTAGCGTCATTACTTCTCGTTATTCGCATCTACATATCCCTAATATACAAGTAATAAAGTGTCTTAAAACTACAAATTTGTACTTGGAATCGTAGTCGCCAGAGCTGCCAAAGCTTCTGTCGAATTCGACGCAACACAATCCACGCCGATCCCGCCCGTGACCCCATCACAGGTAAACACCTGATCGCCCAGCGGCGTGGTCATCTCGATGCCCTCCATGTAGATGTCCTCGCAGACGGCATTGGGCGAGCAAATAACCTCGACCGTCAGCTTCCCGCGCGCGCCCGACGACTCGCCGGTGAAGTTGATGAAGGTGACGTTGGAGATGTTGACCTCTGACGGGTGCTTTGCGCACTCGGTACTGTTGATGTTGAAGTAGCACTGGGTGAGGATGAGCGGGTAGTCGACGTTGTCCATGACAAAGTCCTTGTATGTGATGTTGTTCATGCGGCCGTATCCCGTGCTCTCGCCCGCCCAGGCCTTCAGGCGGGCGCCGTTCTGTGAGTTGTGCATGGTCACGTTCTCGATGTAGACGTTCTCAATGATGTCCATGACGCCCGAGTACTGGCCGATGCTGCCCATGGATACGCCGTGGGTGCCGTTGCACCAGAGGTTCTGCACGAAGATGTTGGTGGTGTTTGGCTTTGGGCTGAAGCAGTCGTCGCCGATGTTCACGCGCGCGTTGGTCACGGTCAGGCCGTCAACGTTGTATGAGTCCCAGCCGTCGGTGTTCTTGGGGAGGTTGGAGTTAGTGGATTGGGCCTCGATCAGGACATTGTTGTAGAAGATGTCTTTGGACGTGATCAGGAAGTTGGTCCAGCATGGTGAGTTACGGAGAGTGATTCCATCGATGAGGAGACCAGTTGCGTTTACAGCGGTGAAGAGGTTAGGGCGTAGGTAGACGTTGTTGGGGTCCTATTCGGGGGGGTGGTTAGTTTTGGGTTACAGATATCATTGACAGTATGGAGGAGGAAAGTTCGTACAAGGATTTCACGGCCAGCGAAGCCGTCGTACCAGGCTTGACCATTGCCGTTGATCTCTCCGGTGCCTTTGATTACAATGTCTTTTCCGCCCCATTGCCAGAAGGTGATGGAGTTTTGGAAGGGGTGGAAGAAGTTGTTGGCTTGCCAGTATGCGATATCATCTGTAAACTGTTGTTCGTGGACCGATTAGCGAGCGGTTCTTAATATAATATACTATTAGAGGAGCTCTTGGTTCTGCTGTAGTAACTAGGAAGGTATCTGGAAAAGCCGGAAGAACGAGACTACTAGCTATAGCTAATATACTCCCAAAAGCCAGCTCCTCACAAACTTCACAAGTCCCCATAGTTCCCACTACCTGCAGAAAACCGCCCTCTTCCTCCAAATTTAAACACAAGGACAAAAAATAACCTACCAAGATCTGACCATCCAACTGCACCACAATATCATCCAAAAATGTCAAGTCCAACTTCTTTCCTAGCACATAAGTTTTGCCCTTCTCGAGCACCAGTGTGCCTCCGCAATTGGCCTCACTGAGAGCTGCCAGGAACTCGTCTGCTACATCGTCCGTCTCATTGCGCGACGCCCGCAGATGTACCTTTCTGCGGTGATGGTGTTGCGGGAACGCGTGGTGACGCGGGCCGCCAGGGTTATAATGACCGCGGTACTTGTTTGTGCGCGGGGCCAGGGGTACGAGCGCGTTAGAGGAGACAGGCTTGGAGAGGATTGAGGAGGGCGCCGCCAGGAGGACGGAGAGCAGGGTGAGTGTGAGCTTCATGGCGGAGGAGTATTAGGTAAATTAGCTATAGCAGAGGAGGGACAAAATTAAGTGGCCGCTGATAATATAGGGCTGCTACTGCTGCTCCAAAAACCCGTGGGTTCTGGCACTGATGAGGCAGTATTTAAACCCCCGTGGCCAGCTCGTCCTCCTCCTCCTCCGCTCCTGATCTCGGCCTCGGTCTCGGTGAAGGAGCAGAGCCTGCATATCTTCTCGGGCGCCACTACAGCGAAGTCGGGCCTCATGGGTCTTGTAGCAATCAGTATATATACTCATCAAATTATCCGAGCAAGTCTAGAGTAGGCGTACCTACATTGGAGATTCCCGATACTGCATCATATCACCCAAGCTTAAGAGCCAGCCATTCAACGGCATGGAACACAAGGAAAAAAAGAAAATAAAGCCCGGGCCTGCTGCAGCACAATAGCCGACTGTGGGGAAGCCTGCACAAGATGCTTGTTTGACTCGGCGTTCTGGGCGGCACCTCCGAGGGCCGCCATCCCTGGAACTGTGCAAGATCTTCGTTTTTTAAATTTTGCGTGGGCTTTATCCACTGCATGGCCATGGACCTACGTATACAGCAATTAATCGTCATCCTGCAATCCGGGGAAAAGAAAAAACCAGACACATATCCCGGGAAAATGGAAAGATAGAGAACCAGGAAAAGAAGGTAGGTCCCATACTTTAGAGTAGATATGTGTTTATCTTGCGTGCGGAGAGAAGACCGTGCGCGTGTTCGTTCGGGCCGATTGTGTAGCGGTGGACCATGGGATTAGTTGGCAGCTTGCATGTAGAGTGTCTATAGAGCATATGTGGGGGGGCGGGAGGGGGAGAGTTCTGGGATATATAAGTATATTGTGCCTTGATCTGGTGTGCGGTGAAGTGGACCTGAGAGACAACCTGGCTTTATAAATTGACTACATATCCACACAAGCTGAGAAACCTTCTTGGCAAAGCTGTGCCTCCAGAGCGATTTCAATTAGTATTTTCAAGTGAAATTTCTTCTCTTTATTTTCCCGGTTAATTTAATAATACTAAGGAATGTGGTACCTCAGCAGGCGCTACAGCAGCGAGTTAATAACATAGCAGAAGCATCAATTACATAGATACGGTTCTTAGCAACATCAGGTGAGTTGATCATGAAGTGCCTATGTATATACATAGATTAAGGTTTAACCGCCCGTCAAAGTTATTCTAACCTTCATGATCATTGACTCAAAACTCCTCATAGGATCTGATTCGGAACTACTCATTGATTCTGACTCGGAACGTCTGAATAGGTAGGGTTAGGGTTTGCGTATATATATAGGAGACAATTACACACCTAAATTCTGATGATCTAGCGATATATAGACATAATTACAAGTAGCCAGTATTGGGAACTTCATGCCTGAGTGACAATTATTGAAGGAGCTACGTGGCCCCGAGTGAGAATGAACTGTGGATTTTGCCAAGCTCCAGACAAGTTCGAGGCCTTGGCAGGGATTTCAGAAGCTCTTACGACTGAGAGATTTTGATATTTGACAAATTGATCTCGGAGAATGATTTTCCTCCCTACCAAGAGTTTATATTCTACAGTACTTTACATCAACCCTCTAAAAATTGGTGGTGGAGTAAAAGGTTTAAAACGGACAGTAAATCAAGACTGAAATCAACGAGAAGACCCCCACGAAATTTTGAGCATAGAATATGATAGACAGCAAATGAATAATATTGAGCCCTTTATAGGAATGGCTTAAGTAGCTAGCTGCTTACATTGAGGTGTGATTGACAGTATACGTCGACTTTATCGTGGCTTCGTACATGACATACAATTCGTACAGACTAAAAAAAATAAGATGTGAAAAAAAAAAGAAGAAAGGTATAATAGGTACAAGAAGAGAGAAGAAAAAAGAAAGAGCAAAAATGATGTATTAAGCCCGCTATTATTGAGTTCCTGATAGACGCATACCCTGACAAAGAAAGAAAAACATTTTACCCCGCGACCCAGAAACAGTACCCTTTGCAATTGCCAGAAGCAAGCAGGAAAAAAAAGAGAGAAAAAAAATGATAGAAAGAAACCGACGAAAAAAACCTCGTCCCAAACAAATCTCGTTTAGACGTAAACTCAAAGATTCCTCGTTCGAATAGACTCCCTTCCTAGAACACCTCGGCGGCTGTTCTCATCCATTTACGCTTCATCCGTACACCCACATTGCCCATCAATGGTACCCCGCACAAAGACATCCGGGAGGAGGATTCCATTTTTCTAATTTTACCTCTCTCCCTTCATCATGTCCTTGATTTTGTTCCATTCCTTCAAATCGTAGACGTTAGGCTTAACGCCAGGACCTTCGTACCTAATCGCTGGTTGGTTGGGTTGTCTGTCCATAGTGAAACGATACATCTGGGTGGCCTCGTCGAGGATTTCGTAAGCGGTGACTACGTAGAGCCCGTCGTAACGGATACCGGCGCTCGGCGCATAGGCAGAGTGCTTTTTGCTTTTGGTCGAGCGCAGAAGGCGTACGGGATTTCCGTTGTTCAAAGACATTTGTAGCAACTTCGTGCCCCCCGAGGGAACACAGGTGCCTGTTCCCTTGACAGGAACACCGACTGTGCCACAGTACAACACCCTGTTGCCATGGTCTTCGTCCTTGCTGTAGCCGTGCGACATAACAACGCTTATGCAGCCATATTCCTTGTTGCCAGAGATACCTATCAAGCAATTGTCAGTTGGTTTCTATAAATCTAACAAGTATAGTTGGAAAATTACCAGCTTCCATCTCTCCGTGAGCGCCATCTCGCATAGCACATATCTGCAAGGGCCACCAATCGCCAATTGTAAGCCCATTATGACCGATAACGAGAGCATTAATTCGGTGGCGGTAGTTTTCCTCCAACCGCCAACCGCCGGTGCGCTTTATCTTTCCACGGACCACATCGCGATTGATTGTCGAGGATGATGCGATACCTCGCATCAAGGCTTTGTCGAAATCGGAACGCAGCCATCTGGCACGAAGGCTCTGGGCTTCAAGAATAATATCCTGAGGAATCCTCAGTGCGTTACCAGCTCGTACCAACTCTGTCAAAGCATCCAAAGTGCGTTGTGACCGGACCATTATTGAATCTGCTGGGATGTACGGCAATCTTTGGACACAATCCCTTAAATTTGTAACATCCACCTCGATCTGGGTATTTTCCGAAAACCTCCTCATCGAGGCGCGTATCTTCTCCGCACTGCTGCCAAGTGCAATACCCTCACTCCTAGTTAAGGTTGACTTCAAGGTTGGGGCCGGCCGAATTCTCGTCCTTTTCTTTGACTGATCAGAACTGGCAAGATTGATTTAATAAATTAGCCATTGAGCGTCAAAGAGAAAAAAAGAAAATAAAAGAAAAGAAAATGCAAAATACTAGCAGGATGAGGGGATTAATTACTTTGCATCATCTTCGATTTTGACGGCCCTTGAACGAGCTCTTTTATCCCGCTTCTCCAGTTGTTTCTGGGCTTCATCTCGGTTTGATTGGGCCGTAATCCCAACGCCAAACATATCCTCAAGCTCTTGATCAATGTCATCATCATCGCTCTCGTTTTTAATGTTTCCATCGTTTTCGTCACCGTTCTTCTCACTTTTGATTAAAGCATCGTAACCTCTCTTCCTGGGGTTAACGTTGGAGTTGTTGCTTGCGGTATCAGCAGAGCTAATAGGGCTACCCAGCTTCTTCTTCTTTTTGGGCTTGATTGACCAAATAGATAGTGGAGGTTTTCCAGACATTTTTATTATAGTAGAGAGTGGGGTTTTTAGAGGGGTAGTGAGCGTAACTTTTTTTCTGGAGATGTAGAGACAAGGACGCGATGGAGGGAGAACGTGTTGAGGGAGGGTCTTAAACTCTTGAGGTGCAATCTTGGCTTGGCTGTTGGATTCAGTCACAGAACTAGCATTTACGTAAGCAGCATAACTGCTAGGAGTCATCAAAAAAGTCTCTCACACTGGGGGTCAGCATATTAGCTTGCTGGACTTGTCTCGAAAGGATTTGTGCAGTGCGGGTGGCTCGACTGACAGGCTCTTAGTGCAGATCTTGGTCAACATCCTCCTTCCTCCTTTGGTTTTACAAGACCGTTTTATGAGAGCAATTGAATTCATCAGCAGACATCCTCCAAATCTCATGCTCTGTATGGAAGGAGGCATCCCCGTAACAAACGAAAATACCAGGTTCTGTACGTCTTCCACCGTACCCATGCCAATTGTATCCTTGAACTCGACTTGCCACAATTCAGATTCGATTGCTAACAGCTATTCAAACGCCCGAGCAAACACAGGAAACAATAGAACCTTCACCATTCACACTTGCCATCAAGATACCAACACGATCTTCCGATTGGCTGCTCGCATTACCGCCCTGGCAAATAGGATAGGATGACCTATGTAGGTACATTATTCTCTCTTACTGCCTATAATCAACCTCACCGTGCTAACTTCGAACCCTTTGTAGGTGCTGTGTTAGAAAGTGAAGTCCGGCATGCTATTAATTATCGAACCTCCTTCGTGGTAGAGGAGAGGATCCAGCACTCATCGTCATCACTACCATTAGCCCAGCACTGAGGCAGGAGTAAATCGTCGTTGGATATAGATCTAGATGGAGAATTATATTATCACAGCTGGATAGACAATGGGCTTTATAGACACAAATTATGCTACTCATGTCCGTAGTTTTACAGTTAGACTAACAAAGAACCACAATCCGCAATCCACAAGCAATCATTGCCAACAACTGATTAACAAAGAGCTTCCACTTCCTGCCAGCCTACATAACAAACCCCCCTTCCCTATACGCCCACATTCCCCCACCCTCATACCCAAACATCCTCATGCCCCCTCCCATCCTCCACATGCCCCCTCCCACCCCCATACCCCACTTCCAAAAAATCAAACCCCCAATCATTGCCTCCCCGCCCCAATAGTTGCCACCCGCCCTCCACAAAAGCAGTTAGTCCGTGCCGTCCCACGCCCAAATTCCTACTAAACGATCATTCCCATCTGGGGCCGCGCGGCCCTCCCCCGCGCTCTCTTTGTAGGGCTAAGGCACGCTTTAAAAAAAAATGGCGGGCCGAATCATTGACTGTCTGGCTACAAAAATTACGTAAATTCCCGTAAATGCATAGCATGGCCGACCAACCCTAACCTTCAACAACAACAACCACCGCCGGGGACAGGGAAGGGTAGGGTTAGGGTTATGGTGTGTTCATGGTGGGATATTCAGGGCATGTTAATTCGGACAACTAGAGATTATTTCTTGGGATTATTTTTTTTGGAATTATTGAACAGGCTGGATTATCAGATGGCGAGAATAATAATCGCAATGCTCATAGATGGCTCCTCGGGCACCCTCCTCACTCGGACAGTTCACGTATGTATATACCTACTAGCGCTGCCGGAATATTGAAGCCACCCAATTGAAGAACTATGGCGAGTCACCTTTTTGTAGTCGACTCTTTAGACCAACTATCTTTTCTGGTTTAAATCTGGCAGCGGTGCGAGTAGAAGATCAGGCTTCTCTATATACCTCTTCTCCACCGGTCTTCATTGGCTGCTGTCTGGGTGGGGGCCATCAGCGTGGCCATGGCTAGTGAGTACTAATCACATGTTTTGACAAACGTCGCAAGACCAGATATTTACATGGCGGCGGCGGCGTGTTAACTAGGACACCTGTGTACATGTTGTTTGGGAATAATTACCTCCGGAGATGATTGTGAAAGTCGGGAGTCCAGAAAGTTGGGTCATTCAATTGCACGAACCAGCATGATTGCATATATTATTTACAGTCGATAATCCGTCAGAGTGTTGTCAATAGTTCCGAATCATCCGATCGCGAATAGCCCCTCATCATCAATTAGTTTCACGTACACTTATGCGCAGCTTACGGTTGGGGAGGAGAGGAATGTAGGCTAAGTTCTCCTAAAAGCTTCATCTATATAAACCCCGCCTAGCATCTGCCAACCAAGAAAAACTAGTACTGACATTTAAAAGAAAGAAAGAAAAACGAATAATAATAATAAAAAAAAGGAAATCCCGAATATATTCCACTCCCCGCCCCTAATATAAAACAACCAACAAAAAAAAGGCACACATAAAAAAAAGAAGTACTACTATACATTTAAAAACGAGAGAGAGAAAACACCTACAAGCAAACGGAAAAAAAGAGAAGATACCTAGCTACAACTTCACCTTCCCCGCCCTAATCCCCTCCCAGTCCTTCTTCGTAAAGCGGACATACACGCCATCCTTCAACCACCACAGCCTGTCCCCGCCGACCTCCACCATCTCCGGGTCCACGCCCTGCAATCTCAGATCATGCTTGACATGCTTCAAGTTCCCCGTCGTCACCATCTGCCTGGTCACCCTGATGAATAAGGGCACCGCAAACCTCGGCAGCCCCTTCACGACATTCTGTGCAAGTCTCTTCATGGCCTCCTCTTTGACTTCCGCCCCCGTCGGGCCAACATACGCCTCCTCCTTCAACACCACACACGCACACCCCGCCCTCCCATCATGCCCGGGCAACTCAACCCCATACACATTCGCCTCGGCCACCTCCCCACAGCCCCCCAGCACCTCCGCCACCTCCGCCGTACTCACATTCTCGCTCTTCCACCGATACGTATCGCCAATGCGGTCCACAAAGTACCAAAACAGCCCATCCACACTCGTCCTCTGCAGATCCCCCGTGCGGAACCACGCATCGCCCTTCACAAACACATCGCGCAATATCTTCTCATCCGTCGCCTTCCCATTGCCGAAATACCCCTGAAAGTTCTTCTTGACATTGTTCGGGTCGAGGCGCCAGAGCAGCTCGCCCGCCTCGCCGGCCGGGCACTCGACCGCGAAGCCCGTGGCCGGGTCGCGCAGCGGCATGTCGCCGGTAGCGTCCATGCGCACGGCCTTTGCGCTGCGGCCCATGAGCGCGCGCAGCAGGGAGCCGCTGCGGCCGATGGCGCCGACGCCGAAGGACCCCTCCTGGTAGTTCCACGAGCCCGAGGAGCCCTCGGTGGAGGCGTAGAACTCGGCGATGACGGCGATGTTGAAGCGCTCCTTGAAGGCCGGCCAGATGTCGGGGCGCAGGCCGTTGCCGAAGGCCATGCGCACGCTGTGGTCGGTGTCTGTGGGCTGCGGGGGCGCGGAGAGGAGGTAGCGGCAGGTCTCGCCGACGTATTGGATCACTGTGGCGTGCGAGTCGCGGACGTCGCGCCAGAAGGTTTTTGTGGAGAATTTGTGGCCGAGGGAGAGGGTGGCGCGGGCGTAGAGGACGTTGGTGAGGCCGAGGAGGACGGCGGAGCTGTGGTAGAGCGGCATGCAGGTGTAGTAGACGTCTGTGGACTTGAGGCCGATGTAGCGCGAGGCGAAGCCGGCGCCGAAGTGCAGCTTCTGGAAGGAGATGATTGCGGGTTTGGGCATGCCCGTGGTTCCGCTGTGGAGGGGGGGTGGTTGCGTTAGTGGTTGTGACAATCATTGACAGGGAGAGGGTGATATCTCATGATGGAGTTGCAGCTATACAAAGCCAGTGCTATTACAAAAACATACCTTGTATAGATCAGCATCGCCATATCCGGCAGCTTCTGCCCCCCGCGCTCCTCATCACCCGGCCTCACCGCCCTCCACGTCTCCACCACCCTCTCCGTCGCCTCATCAAACACCACCACCTCCCTCTCACCGCCCTCCGTCTCCAGCAGCCTCCTCGTCCGCTCGCCCTCCTCCCCCTCCAGCACGCCGCGCACCTCGCCATCCACCAGCACCAGCCGCGCCGTCGACGTCTTGACACAGTGCAGCAGCCGCTCGCCACTCAGGTTATAGTTGATCATGGCCGGCTTCGCGCCAATGGCCCACAGCCCATACCACACCCATATCAGCGCCGGCTTATTCATAAAGTCCAGCGCCACAATGTCGCCCTTCTTGATGTTGTAGCGCTCCTTGAGCCACGTGGCGTAGCGCAGGATCATGTCGTGGGCGGCCTTGTAGCTCCATGTGGTGCCCTCGTAGATGAGGAGGGGCCGGTCGCGGAGCGCGGCGTTGGGCGAGAGGGCGAGCTCCTCGACGAGGTAGTAGGGCGAGAGGCGGTCGCGCTTCTCGTACACGGCCTGCTCGATGGTGGAGGTGAGGAAGGAGCGGATGATGCGGAGGTCGTGCGAGAGGAGGTATTTGGCGTCCAGGTAGGAGAGCACGGGGAGGGCGGCGAGTATGCTCTTGAGGACGGTGGCGGGGAGGGCCATGGTAGCTAGCTGGGCTGGTCTGCCTGGAATATGGGGGGAGCTGATTGAAGAATGTGGGTTTAGATAGGTGCTTGTAGTAGTATAGTAGTAGTAGTAGTAGTAGTAGCAGGAGCAGTAGTAGCTTCTGTAGGTGTCTAGATATCAGGGGGGTCTGAGTGGACGCAGATATCAAGATGTTCTGTGAGCGTGGAGGTGTGGAGAGAGATGTTGGGGGGATTTCAGAAGCACTGTCCTTCCGGTGGGTGACAGGGGGAACGATAAAAAGAGGTTCTGCAACAAGCCGAGGCTCTCGCTTCTCTGCGCCAATCCCGGGCCCGCTACGGTCGCACAGAGCGCAGCACTTAGAGTCTTAGGCGCCCGAGCGAGTCAACCTCAGAGACAGGCAAGACAGCAGCATATCGGGGGGTTTCTGTCTTGGGGCTCACATTGATTGATTATCTCCTTCCCCCTTCCCCCTTCCCCCTTCCCCCCTCTGGATCTGCCAAATAACGCTCTCTAGAAACATGGTGACTGCCAATTATCGCTCCGAGACGAGAGAGTTAGCAGTCTCTCGGTCCAGTGCAGCCCGCGGCTGTCGAGAGCTCAGCATGCAACGGATCGTTTTCTCTCCATATCAACCTCAAAGCAGCCTCGGTAAGCACGTGCACCGGAAAGCATAACCTGCAACAATATTCCACATAGATAGTGCGTGCATGAGGGTTCGATTCCCAACAGTTGAAAAAGGGACCCTCAAGTAATCAATTGACAGCGGAGGGTTCGTCTCGCTTTCGGGGAGCTGCTCCGTATGCAGGGTACTACTGATTTTGTTATCGTTTGACAGTTTGGTGTGCGCTGTAAAATAAGGAATCGGACTTACTCTGGGTTTTGTTTTGTTTGGGGCATGATCTGAAGCTGTGGGATGTATACGTATGAGCAGGACTGATATTGCGCGTGGCTTGGCTGGTACGGGAGTATCGGGGCCGGGAGTAATCAGTCGACATCTAGCTAGAGTTTTAGACATCTCGCTGCACTTTTCGTTGAGGGTCTTATTCCGGGAGACATTGTTGACCTTTTAATTTAGCTATCTAGATTTTACCTTAGCATTAACTGACTGTAAAGGAAATAAAAGTGGGTTCTATGCTCATTTCCTCTCACCACCACCACATGTGCTATCACTCTTTCGGCCATTTATTAGTAGAAATAGTAAAGATGCAAGTCTTGGCATCTATATGCTGATCGACACGGGACACTGCATTAAAGGGCTTTGGGCTATTCTGCATTTGCGATAAGAGATAAAGACACACTTGTATGTAGTATAAGGGCATGGTAAATGTTGAGTTTGGTAGACAAATCTAGAAGCTTTGACTTTAGCAGTTTGAAATGGACTTACCTTGATACCGACTCCTCATTTTTAACTCTCACTCATAGGCAGTGGAGAACGCCAAATGGAGCCAAGTTAGGTAGGCCCCGAATGTGTAACGGATGTAAGACAAACAGTCCATGTCGGTATGTTAACTGCGCATGAATATCCCTCCCTCATGATCAATTAGACCTCTGTCACAGAAGACTATAGTTGCTGGATATAGACGAAGGGATTGCATAAACAACTTCATCAAGAGTGACAGAGAATTGATGAACCGATAAGGGATTCAAGGCCTAATTATAAAGGGCGAGGGCGCCTTTTATATATAGTTACAGCCCGAGGACAACGTCATGTTCTTAGATAAAGGGATAGATGTATAAGTTTTAAAGCCAGTGCATGTCCAAACCACATATAGAAAACTGTTCGCCGTCGATCTTTACGGAATAGTTCCACTGGGCAGAGCAGATCTTAAGGTGTAACTACTATGTACTACCTACTCGCGCGGTTTGATTAAGCCGCTCAGACCAAAAAAAAAAAGGTAATTGATCTGAATACTGCAAAAACGTGGGCTCTTATTGGCTGCCGGATCACTCGCGAGTAGGTTCAACGCTGCACAACTATATAATCTTGATATATTACGGGCCGGGGACTATTATAATTTGAAAGCTTAAGGATATATATATATATATCGATAGGAGAGGTCGATCAATGCAATGAAGTCACAACCCGCGGGTTTGTATCACAGTGTTGTAGAATTAAGTGTGCACCTTAAGACTAGGCCTCTCCCGTTCGTTGACCAAGTATATAGATGCCATGGTCTTGTTGGTATTGCATCGATCCCCTTCTCTTCCGTTCTGCATTACTTTAACTACATGGTGATTGTTGAAGTGCACATATCATACCCAACGTCCTAGTTAGTTTTGAATATGATTTTCAAGTTCAAGAGCAGCGTCATTCACAGACTCCCATTCACACCGATATCTACATTTCCAATTCTCATAGGATATTAACACCACCTATATATCTACCTATATAATCTGCCCTCTACATCCCATTGACGCCCTCCCCCTTCCAATTCTCCATCACAATCCCCGCCACCTCCTTCCCCCTCCTCACCACAAAGTCATGTCCAATGCCCTCAAACACCCTCCCGACCACCCTCCTCCCCGCCTCCTCGCCCCCCGCCAACAACTCCACCATCTCCCCCACCAACCCAGGCTCAATGACCACATCCTCCCCGGCCACCACCACCAACACCCTCTTCCTCTCCTCCCTCCACACCCTCCCCACCTCCGCCCACTCCCCCTGCCGATCAAACAGCGGCCCATTCCTAAAGCTGCTCAAGAACGCCGTCAGAAACCCTCTATGCGCCCTCCCCTGCCACTCGATGATCCCCTCGACATCCACCGCCCTCCCCGCATCCCTCACCCTGGGATCCGCGCCGCGCGCCGCCACAACCTCCGCCGACGGCGTCCCGTGCGTCCTCCGCACGGCCAGCCATCCCGCAACAGCATTCGGGACGTACCCCGCCTGCGCGAAGCGCGCAAAGACGCCGAGGCGCGAGGAGCGCACGAGGCCCGAGGGCGCGAGGAGGACGAGGTCGCGCACGAGGTGCGGGTACAGCTTGGCGAAGGCGACCGCGATGCCGCCGCCGAAGGAGTAGCCGATGAGCGTGAAGTTGTGCCAGCGCTGGGCCTGCGGCGACGAGTGCAGCGCGAAGATTAGTTCTGCGGCGTAGAGGCGGTGGTCGTGCGGGACGCCGAGGGGCGTGTCGGAGTAGCCGCGGCCGTAGAGGTCTTATATTCCATGAGTATATATATATATATATATATATATCACCTATATCTCACAGAGGGAGGAAGGAGCATACCAAACACCAACACCCGACACCCGCCCTTCTCCACCAGCTCCCACAGCAGGTCGCGCGCAACCACACACGGGCTTCCAATGCCGTGCACAAACACGACCTTGCGCCCATCCTCGGGGCCCCACTCATACACGCGGATCGTGCCATACGGCGTCGTGACCCACCGCGCGCCCGGAAACACATCGGGCGGGTACGGCAGCTTCTCGAGCTCCTCGGGCGTGAGGCGCGGCAGCTCGATCCGCGGCGACTCGATCGTCGTGGGCAGCAGCGACCCGATCGGCGAGCGCAGCACCGTGTACAGGAATGTGCCGCCCGTCAGCAGGGCGAGCGCCGCGGGGACGACCGGCGAGCGGCGGAAGTACTGTTGCACGTGCGGGAGGAGGCTGAGGTACTGCTCCATCTTTTGGTAGGTGGATTTGGTTGTGGGGAGAGGAGGAGGAGGAGGCTGAGGTACTGCTCCATCTTTTGATAGGTGGGTTTGGTTGTGGGGAGAGGAGGAGGAGGAGGGGCGCGGGGTTGCGTCGTTATGTAAGCTGCGGTCGGGATCTCCGGGGTGGGTTTTGGGTTTCTTTTTTGGGAGCGAGTGATAGCGCGTGATTGGCCTTAACTGTTGGGGTCGTGGGGAATCATCGGTTGGTGGGGTTTGGGTGTGGTGGTGAGTGTTATGTGTGGGCTGCCGATAGACACTTACTGCAGCATGATTGGATCTCTAGTGTTCATATAACGGCTCCCGGATAAACATCCAGACTGCAGCTAATACACGGCGTAAAGAGCCCCAGAGGCCAGCCAGCCAGGAGAGTTGTATGATGTTAAAAGGATTCCAGCTGATATGAATCCAGAGAAATGCGTATACCTGCAAAGGACCGAAATAGTTTATATGGATGGATGTAATTCATATTGATATTTAGGGAGATTGCAAGGTTATAAGGGGTATAGTAATATCTCTCACGCTTGTGGTGACGAAACCCGAAGGTTGGTTCTTTGCCGCACCAAGTCTTGAGGAATCATAGGCTTCCAGGGTATCCACTACTAGATCAGACTGACAGTCATCAGCTGTCAAAACATAGAGTATCAGTGGTCCAATGTCGGTGAGGACGCATCGCCCGGGTGTATCTAATCGGAAGATACGCTCCAGACCACCATTTCCATTCGTAAACGCCGTGCTAACTATATACATACGTAAATGCCCTTTGGCTTTCTTTGCAGCTAGTTAGGTCGGAGAAGCGGATTAACGAATCCAAATCACTGCCATCTTGGCATGACATTGAGAGCAGCAGCAGCAGAGTCTTACGGCGAGATCGAGTGAGTACGTGACAGCGGTCGACTAAACCCGCGGACGAGTAAACCGAAATGTCGGGTCTCTCCCCTCACCCGATATCCTCCAACTACCTGTGATCCGTATATATATATATATATACCGGAGCCCGACCAAGAGATTAGGCTTATGATTGCATAGTATTCTCCTTCATTGTATCCGAGGCGTTTCCGAATGGGAAAGCCCTATGCAGCAGTCCCTTGCCCCGTAGATGGGTGCCAGCACGGCCTCCATAATCCCCAAGTCTATGTAGATATCCCACCGCCCATGATAAACCAGCAAGACCTCCCGGAGAAAGCTGCTTCTATGTGTTGAGGCACTGATGCAAGAGCCGGATGGGCGGAATGAGCTATCCGCGCCCAAGACAGACGGCCGTTTTGCAGAGACGGGCATTCGTAGATTGCCCTGTCATCTAGAGGGCGGACTAATTCCGTGATGAAACTAGCTGCTGATGGCGCGGAGCGAAGACGAACAGGACAGATCTGGGTTGGCTTTAAGTTGGGAATCATCTACAGAGGCGGGCACGGAACTTTGTGGCTTCAAATGCATGTATCTACGTAGATAGGGCAATGTTTTGCTAGATAGACCTGTGAATTAATCGATTTTCGCTAGGAAAAAAAAACTGAAGAGAGGTCACAAGACGAAATAACTCAAAATAATTCATTATTTTTTCTTCTCATTTTTACCACATCTACAGAGCACAATTAATTGCAACCGGTAGAGACCTCGTAAAAGCCGGTGCATGCCGCACTCCTGCCTTCTACTCCCTCTCCACCGCTCACAACCAGTCGTCTCATGTACATGTAGTTGTCGAATGTTTAAAGAAGAGAAGAGAGACTGAGGGGGAGGAACGTGCTTAAATAGCATTCCTGTATTCAAGTCATCGTGGGACACCAACGCCAGGCTTGGCTAGCGCGACTGCTCTTCGGGAGTAACCTGCATGTAGCCAGAATTGGCCGGCGGGCAGGCCAAGAGTCCCGAGTGATTTTGTGTGATCAAAACTCCGCAGACGCTAGGATTTTGGGGTCATTGATTCTGGGTTTACATTTCACAATCTCTTTTCTTTGGTGTTTAGTACGTTTCATTCATTTAAAATAGTGAACATCAAGATGAACAAAATAAAAACAAAAACCAAAACAAACGAAACACAAGTTTTCGGGGCAAAGACATACATGTATACCAGACCAAAAGCCCCCCGCCCCCCCCCCAAACACACGACCCAAGAAGCCCCTCAACTCCCAACTCCCAACTCCCTCTAACTCACGCCTTATATACACTCTAATCCGCCCTCTCGCCCACAAACGTCGGGAACCTCGGCGTGCCGCTATTCGACAACTCCTGATACCTATAGATCACCGTAGCCCCAATCTTCGGCGGCGTCCTCCTCTGCTGATCCGTCAATCCACTCCCAATCTTAAACAGCTTCCCCGTCGGCCTCCCCTTCGCATCCAACATCTCCACCCTCAACGCCCCGGTACAATTCGCATTCTTCCCGGACCCCCTCTCATGGCCCCTCACGACCGCATCGGCATCCAAGAAGCGCTTCACCTTCAGCAGCGTCTTGCTGCGCCCGTTGACATACGGCGACCCGGGCTCGCGCAGCATCAGGCCCTCGCCGCCCTTCCCGCACACGTCGTCGAGCATGTCGAGGAGGTGCTTGCGGCTCCGGCACTCGGTGTGCTCGAGCACGTGCACCCAGCGGATGCGCAGCTTCTTGAACGTCTCCTGCACGAACGCGATGCGGTCCTCGAAGGGCTCGTCGCCCATGCTCGGGCAGTCGAAGACTTGGTAGCTCACGCTGAACTTCCAGGCGTCGGGGTTGTTCTGCGTGCGCACGATGGACACGCATTTCTGGAAGTCGCCGCGGCTAGTGAAGAGTTCGCCGTCGAGGCAGATCTAGATCAATTCCCTATTAGCCTACTTTCTTCCCTAGAAAATAAAGAAGAAGAAGAAGGGGAGAACAAACATCCTTCGGCATCCTCTTCGTGAACCACTCCGGCGCATAAAACGGGTTCCCCTCGCGGCTCTGAAAGTTCTTCCCATTCCAGTACGCGCGCACACCGTCCAGCTTCTCAGAGATCAGATACCCCTTCGGGTCCTTCCCCTTCTCGATATCCCACTTCTCCGCCAGCAGCGGCTTGAAGCTCAAATCCTTCGCCAGCCTCTGCACGGGCTCCACCTTCCGCTTCGGCCGGGCCGCCGCCGCACCACCACCACCACTACTACTACTACCCGCCGCCGCCTTCCGCGCCGGCTTCGCATCCGCAAGCTCCTCATCACTCACCACCCCCGCCCTCACCGCCTTCCCCCCCCTCGACCTCTTCGCCGCGGGCCTCGCCTCCTCCTCCTCCTCTTCCTCCTCCTCCTCATCATCATCCGGGCTAGCCCTCTTCGCCAGCCTCCTCCCACCCCGCGGCTTCACGTCCTCCTCCGTGGCCACCTCGTCCTCCGTGTCCTCGCCGTCGTCAGTACTCTCCTCCAGCGCCTTTGCCTTCCCCTTCCCGCCCGCCTCGAGGTCGTCTTCCGCTTTGCGCTTCAGGCTGCTCGTGGGGGTGGAGGTGGAGGTGGCGGCGGTGGGGTTCAGGCGCTCCAGGCGCGCCTCTTCGTATTCCACGCCAAAGAGCGACTGCAGGTGCTTGCAGGTGCGGCTGTTGACTGCGCCGATGGCGCGGCGCCAGGCGGGGCAGGTGCAGTAGTCTGGAATAGCTTGTTAGTATACTTCAATTGGCTGTTTGCGGGACGGGATTGGGGGGATGGGGGATGGGGGATTGGAGGGTTGGGGATGGACTAACAGTGGTCGCCGGTGCGCTTCATGGTGTAGAGCCTATCTGAGGACTCGGAGGTGGCATTGAGGGTGGTGCCGTCGGGGAGAATGACTTTTGGCTTGACTCCGTTCTGGGGGGTGAAAGGTGGGTTAGTTATTTGGTTTTTACAATTATGGGTTGGGTGTAATTAATTGGTAGTGAGGATTGGAGTGCTAATGTCTTGTATATAGGATATAGTAGACAGAGAGAGAGAGAGGGAGCTTACAATCTCAAGCAGCTTATCCTTGGTCCTTACTTCAGTCCTCGACATTGTCTAAGCTGGTATATAAGAATAGTAGTATAATAGTCGGTATTATAAAAAAAAAAAAAAAAAGGTCGTTATAAAAAAAAAAGCTGTTACAAAACCCCTCTGTCGATAATAAAAAAAAAAAAAAACAATACTGGACCAAGAACAACACTGGCTAAGAATACTGCTCCGACTGCTGAATATCAAAAAAAAAAAAAAATTCCTCGAGGACACCCCAGCGGTTTTATACCAAAAAAAAACACATCCTCCCCATATCCCCCATGGCCATATCCCCCCCATAGACATAGAACAACAACAACAACCAGGTACCACCGTAGGTACTGACTGCAATGCTCACTCCTCCCTCCCCCAAGCGGAATGTAACGCTAAGATCTCATCCCACCCACCCACTGAGCACTCACTCTCCCTAGCCTGCCTGGCGCTCCACGTTGTGTGAATCATCGGGCCCATCCCATGCACGATGGCGAAAGGCAAGACAGGGCCGCCTCGTTACACGAACACGAGTGACTCATACAACTTCACCTTCCCCCTTAAAAAAAAATTAAAAAAGAAATCGCGCGCGCGCCCCGTCCCACCCGGGAAGACGCGTTCGGGGCGCGTTGGCGCGTGACTTGGATGGGATAGGGTTGGGCTGGGCTGGGCTGGGCTGGGCTGGGGTTGGGCAGAGATAGGGGATGGATCAGCGGATGGTTGGATGGGGGGCGAAGACAGCGAGCGGGGCTGTGAAGTAGGTATGACTGTTCTGCGACCGCGACGACGCGATCTATCTATCCTGACCGAGGAGAGAGGACAAGGCGCGATATTGTAAATTGTCTTGCCCTCGATGTAAATTTAACATCTGCGCGGTCGGTTGGGATTGGGATTGGGATTGGGATTGGGATTTACGGTGAAGGCGACGTCAGGGTCGTCGTCGATTGCTGCGATTATCATTGTCCAGGAAGATTGTTTGTCCTGTTTGTGAATGTATCTACATGTACCTACTCTACAGTTCGGGCGCATTGAGAACAGCGACGCAATGATGGGCATTTTGATCTTTGATCGCTGGGTGAGGCGAGGCCTGCTGCCAGAGTACCTCCACCTCCACCTCCACCTCCACCTTCCTATCAAGGGGCGGAAAATTGAGACAGGCGCTCAGAAGTGTAGACTCCAGTTTTGCGACTCTAATCAATAAGCCCCGTGTTGAAACGGTTGAAATAAAGACGAATCTCACCGGAACCAACCCTACCCGTCCCCTAATTCGCAGATTACACTCCCGAACCTGTTCACCACTCCACTCAACCACTTGCACGACAACCACCCTCTCCCGCTCTCTGCAAAAGTAAAGTGTATATGTCCATATCCTACACTTTGCAGTATCTAGTAGAAGAGGAAGAAGGAAGAGTCGGCCATTCGTTTCGGGACTAGCAGCTAGGGAGGCTGAACGAGTGATTTCCCATGATTAGCACACATCTGGCCAAGACTGCATAAGACTAGTACTTGGCTAGCTGTAGATAGCCACAATGATAAAGGAATATCAGTATAATAGAGTGCCTTCCTCTACGAGGATAGTAACTCAAGTGTCTCTTTTTTTCTTTTTGCCCTCGAAGTAACACGCATTCACCACTGCATACGTGTGTAATGACATTTGCACTATGATAGGTAGACTTCTTCCCCCTGGGGTAAATCGTCGTCTCAAACACAAGTATCTTGATATGAGTAGCTTGCTTTATAGAAAGAGCTCGAAGATGGGCATTATAAGGCGTTGTGTGTTCTAATGGCTATAGCAAGACCAAGTTATTGGATGAGAAGGAAGACGATGATCTGATGTATTAAGAGGACTACTAGAGCCCCTGGCTTTATACGACGTGATTGCGGACAGGTTGTCACGCTCCCTATTCCTTTCCGTAAGTCTGCGGTTGCGATATATGTAGCTGATACATGTAGTGACGTACGCTGTACGACAGTACTGTGTCCGGAGATATATATGCCATGGTTACATCCTAATCTGTTTAATAGCCGCATCTACTCAAACGATCTATGTTTCTGTGTCGTATCCTCAAATCTAATAATGCATGTTATGGGTTTTATGTTTATTTTTCATCCTTTTGGTAGAACAAGAATGGTATTCATAAGTTGCACAAATTGTAGATATACCGGGTATGCAATATTCGGTTTAAAGGTCTTATAAATTAAGAATTTCTTTTTCCCCATGTTTCTTTTTCAATTATTGTTCCTGTTGGTTTCTGTAGTTTGATGATTCTGAGTCGTCCAGATTATTGATATTGATGATTGTAATTGCTTTTTATTGGTTTGGTACTATCAAGAGTTCGGACTTCTTTGTTTGAGTTAGGCAAGCAATAGAAACCATTGCTGCATGAACTTTGAGCGCACGTGGCAGTTCAGGGCTTCCTGTGATCTTTGTGTTAGTACGTGATAGATGTGTGTATGCTCAGCTACAGATACTGTCTAGGGTATATCCCTACTCCGGCCCCCGGCCGGAAAGTACTTGTATAATACTATCTAGATGTCGTGCCGGTTCATTGAGGTAGCTACCTGTAGAGGCGCATGCAGTTATGAACCCTAGCCTGTCCATCCAACAGGAAGACGTTACATGTAGGTACATGCAGTCAAAGTAATCCATCCCTCATCATAGAATATAAAGTCGTACCGGAAATATATATCGTAATCCATCTTAGCCGTTACCTTACCCACGCAGCCTTATTACTAGTTAAGGTCTCTTTGATTCAGACAAGATATTCTACAAACAGATAGAAAGGATGAGGATAGAATAATGGGAAGAAAAATAAAAGATGAAGATAGAATAATGGGAAGAAAAATAAAAGATGAAGATAGAATAATGGGAAGAAAAATAAAAGATGAAGATAGAATAATGGGAAGAAAAATAAAAGATAAAGATAAATACCAACGATACAACAAACTAAGCAAAGAAATTCAAAGATAACCAAGAGGATGAGAAAAGTTGACCCTTCTACCGGGAGAAGGCTCGAACCCGTGATCCCTCCTAAAATTAGAATCGAAGAGATCCTCTGAAGAATAAAAAGCCAATAATAAAATGTGTAGCGAAAGAAGGCCCTATTAACGACAACGCCAATCGCAAAAAAAAAAGAAAGAAAAAAAAAGAATTGAAGCCAAAGAAAGCCGTCCTGTCCTCCATATCTATAAACAACACCCCTTCCCTTACCCATTTCCACATCTTGCCGCAACGCGTTGCTTAGTCACATATTCACTAGCCATATCCAATTGTCGATTCCTCATCAATCTTTACTGCTTCTTGTTGCGCGCCTCCAAATCACCTTCAGCCAGCGAAACAGCTGCCTTGACCAACTGCACAACATTAACGATTTGCTTTGCGGCGCAAACTGGGAAGGTAATCGCCGCAACAACCCACGGCCATGAGTGAATCGTCATGAACTGGGGGAAGCTAAGGAGATACATGGCGAGAAAGAAGACCTCATTCGCTGCGCAGAAAATGAATAAGACTTTCTATGGGCAGGTTAGTTGTCTGTTAAGCAAGAAATTTGACTAGGATAAAGTGGAGGGACAATTGCGCACATTGTTGGAGTAATAAAGGTTCAAAATACGAGAGCGTGTTTTCTCAACCTTCTTGTGTGAGCCGGCACCGCGATCGAGTGATGCATACCTGCGAAGCCAATTGCTTAGCGCTCTAGATTCATGGAAAGTATTTAACCACTGGAAGCTCACATATGCATGTAATGACTCGCCAAGTCCAAACTGATTAGAGACTGGAACAGGATGGCCCATTTTGGATACGCCGAGGACAGGAAGCAAAGCAAGCAACTTGTCGTACATCTGTCGGTGACCATGTCCAGCACAGCACCAAACTTGGTAGACTGGTTGTACTTGCGGGCAGCATAGCCATCGAGGGCATCGAGGAGACAGGAGATTGAGTAGAGGATGGTACAATAGTGGGGGTGGTAGGACATGTAGTAGAGGGAAGCACCAGCAAGTACCACACGAGCATAGCCTAAGATAGTTAAATTAATTATTATTATTACGAGGAGACCCGGTAAAGGATTGAATCTAGTGATAAGGCTGCATACCGATCAAATTGGGGATAAAGAGGAAGATGTTTTCTGGTCGAGGCTCTGCGGACATTGCCGCGGATTTTGATCCAGTTGATTTGGCCATTGTTGAGTTGGGGTGGGGAGATGAATCAATAGGGGGTTGAGGTTTGTAATCGAGAAAGATTTGAAGATAGAGAAGAGTCCTCTGTCTGCAGTTCTTAAGTATGGGCACGCGACAGTGTGTACAGCTAGACGTAGTAAAGCGTGATTAGGTGGTTGTTTCTCTCTACTCGGAATGATTTGAGTGGAAAGGGAGGGAGATAGGGAGAGACTAAATGGGGAGATGGATTGTTTGTAAAAGCACGGGGTGTTCAAATTATGGAGAGGAAGAATGGTATATGGATATAAATGGGAACAAGAACGTATAACGGTTACCAAGACAATAAATCGTAACTTACATTGGAGCTGTTTGTTTCCGGAGTGTACCTCGGCGTAGGTAGGTGCAATTTTGTGCTTACCGCGCGACACAGCAAGAGCAGCACTTGGGTCTATCAGCACCTGCAATTGGTGGTGGGGAGAAGGAGGGGTGATAGATAAAAGAGCGTCAGGGGCCCGAGACAAGAAATATCGATATCAATATCAAGGAAGAAGAGACGGAACGGTCAAGCTGTTGTTCAGTTCACGCAACGGGAAAACAGCGCAAGATAAGTGAGCGATGGGTGTGTCTGATGTGGTGTGCGTGCGAAATCTGGCCGCATCCCGACAGCACGGGTGCTGTAGCAGCCCAGCCTGATGTGCACGGGTTGGAAATCGATGTGACTAAGCAGAGGAGAAGAGGTGAGCCATCATGCCCAAAAGTCCCTCTAAGCAGAACTTGCAGGAACGTTAACATCTTCAACGTCTCGCCTTGTGCCGAGCTCCCTTCTCCTTACCGCCGCAACAAAAAGTAGCAGCGCAGTTCGTGCCCGCTCCTTGTAT